CCTGTGTCTCACTTGAAAGAGTGCCACAATTAACAGCACGATTCATTAACCTGCAGAACTGAGTCACAGGAGGAAATGCCAACAGGATAAACCAACACACACTGAAATACTCGGTCAGAAACTCTCACCCAGAAGTTTGTGTGGCCAAATTAACTGGTCAGTAGCTACAGGTGACCAACATGCAACCTTCAGAGTCACTTGCCTGAGCATAATCCCAGCAGAAGGCTGCTAAGAGGCTGATACTCCACAGGCCACAAGAACAAAGCACCCACTCCAGCGCCCACCAGTTGCCTCAAAAATATACCTTTGCCCTCAGAAATGCCACTTTGAGAGCAGGAAAACCAAGGAGAGCAGTGATCTTAATTAAATTAGAATGACAGCAAACTACATTTCAGGGTAGTTTTCTCCATTCTCACCCGGAGGTCCCCTGTTCCTGGGAAATATTCTCCATACTTATGGAAGGACACAGTCATGACCCGGTCTGTGGTGTAAAATGCTTCCTCCACACCATCTCCATGGTGAATGTCAATGTCAATGTACAGCACCCTCTGGTGATACCTAGGATCAGAAAGGAGTCAAAAAGCTGCATTTCTTCAGAGCAGAAGCTGCCTTCAGCAGCAAAACAAACAGGAGGAGAGCAAGGAAGCCCCAGGCTGCATAGCCACCAGGCAGCTCTTTCTGGAGGCTACAAGCAGAAGAGTCATGGAGAAGAGAGTTGTGCCCTGGTCAGCAGTGGAACAGAACCACAGAGGAAAATAAAGTGGCCTGTGCTGCTGCAACTCATCTTTGCAGGTAGACTCGACTCGGTTTATTCAGATTCAAGCTGCATTTTTATGTTCCAGCCCCTTGCTGAGGTCTGCCTCGAGCTACAAGCTGTCACACTTCACAGCTGTGCCCTTTGCCAGGGTGGGTGGCAGAGGGAAGGGCCTAAGAACAACCAGAGAGTGCTCCAGGCCTCCTGCCTCCTGCACTGTGCCACTGCTGGCAGAGAGAGTACTGCATCCCAAGAGACAGCTGATTAAGCCCTCCTGGGTAAACACAGCAGGCTTGGAAGAAAACACCGAGGACTTGGGGAGGAAATGCAGCAGAACAGACAAAGAAAAGGGGTGAGCAGACAGAGAAAAGGGGTGAGCAGACAGAGAAAAGGGGTGAGCAGACAGAGAAAAGGGGTGAGCAGCCCTGCCCGTACTTGAGGAGCTCCAGGATCGCCAGGACGATGTCGTTGACGTAACAGAAGCCAGAAGCCTCTGACTTCTTAGCATGGTGAAGGCCTCCTGCCCAGTTCACAGCAATATCTGTCTGCTGCTTGTTCAGCTTCACAGCACTGGCTGTTGGGAGGAGAAGCACAACACGTGAGCACGAGAGCCCCAGGGCAGAGACCGAGGGGCAAAGCACCTGTCCCTCAGGATCCCATCCTGCCTGGGTGGGTGTTTGGGTGCTGAACAAAGCAAAGCCCAAGGGTTTAACACTTTGTGTCTCAACAAACTAACAAAAGGCAAAGGGGAGGGAATTGCAGGTTCTGTTTTGTCTACACACACTTTTCCCTGCTTCCCACTTTAGCCTCAGAGCATAAAATCTGCACAGACAAGTCCACTAGCTGGGGTCACAGCTGAAGAGAGTCTAGATTTCTCAGTGCCCTGAACAAAGGATTTAAATGAAAGGTTTCATCCAACATACATTTAGGTCGTTCACTGAATATGCATTTAGGCAAAGGAAGTTCTCTGCCCCCAGCCCCTTCATCAACTCTGCCAGTTTTGCAACTCTCCCAGGACCAAAACAGATGGTATATTCTGTGGAATCCACAGCTGTGGGACCAGAGAGCACAAACTGCTTCCAAAAATGCTGCAGTCAGGACTTGTAGGGACTGCTGAGCTGCCTTACAGGAAACCACGACTGCTGGATGTCACTGTGGGAGGAGCAGCCTCCAAGCTTTAAGGCCTGTGCACAGCCCCAGGACTCCCCAACACCCTGTATCCTGCAACAAAGTATTCAGGAACACTGAAAGCAGTTTGAATATTCCAGCTTCCAGGGAGATTCCTGAAACCCTTCAGGTTCTACCTTGCTTCATGTCCAGAGTGGCTTTTTGTTAAAAACAACAAACAAAGTAACCCTTTTGTTTCCTTGGAAGGTCATGCCTGACTAGAGCAAAGTTTTTACAACTGCTCTTTCTGCAAATCCCACTTTGATTTCTTTCTTTCTTTTTTTATTAAGCCTCTGTTGCTGCTGTGGTTTTGTTTTAACATTTTCTTTGCTGGCCTCAAATTCTAACGTGGGGAGAAATCTGGATCTGACTATATTGAGGAGATCAGGAACAGTTTCACAGAACCTCTCCCCCAACCACCAATTACAACAAATTCACTTTCTAGGAAGACCTACACAATGAACATTTACTTCAGAGAAAATAAAATGACAAGTGGTGAGCTTACCCACTGAGCCTCCAGCAGAGAGCTGACAGAACTCAAACAACCCATCAAACACAGGGCAGTCTTCCCCAACATTAACTTGGAAAGAACACAAAAGAGTTAGTGTAAGAGAAAACTATAAATAAATCACAGATTTAAATGTCAAGGTGTCTATCACCCCTCTGGTTTTAAAAGCTAACCAGGTAAGTGAACAACATTTTTTTAGAAGAACAAAAGACCAGGCAGGAATAAGAAAACATTAATGTAATCAGCCCCAATGAGGTAAAAAGGTTGTTGCTGCAGGAAGATGTTCCTGACTTGTACGAAAAGAGGAAAACAGGTCCTGGGAGCTCTGGTGAGAGCAGCACATCATCTGCTGGGCTGGGATCCAGAGTGGGCAGTGAGGAGCTGTTGTCAAGAGGAGCTCTGGAATAGCCACCCTGCTCCTCACAGCAGCTCCTCAGACACTCTGTGCCCTGTGCTGCTCCAGGCTGTGCAGAACAGGGGCAGCACCTCTCAGGTCACACTGCAACCTGCCCCCTCTGTGCCTTCTGGGGGAGTTGTGCCACTTCTGGCCACAGAGCTGAGCCTGAGCTCCAACATACAACCCCACAGCCAGTGGGAAAGGCTTTTACTCCCGTTTGCTGCTGAGGAGGAGCTGAGAAAGCAACCAGTACCAGGAGAAAGCAGGGACACAGTGAACAGTGGTGTGAGAAGTTTACACCCACATCTGTCAGTTCCACCTTGTGCATGCCTTTCACTCCACCCTGGACAGTCAGCTTTTAAGTTCTCAGCCCAACTGCAGTTCTAGCCTGGCTAAGTCTAAGTAATTGGACGATTTAAAATAGAAACAGTAACAAGAATCTAGAATTGCTTATACAAGCCAACCAACCCGTTACTTTTGTAACAACATCTGTAGGTTCTTCTGCATTTCATGTGCACAAAGCTCCAGCAAGCATCAGAAACCCCTCAGTGCACAGTCTCCAACAAAGACTGTGTGATAAGGGAGTTTGAATGGTCCCAGATTGGGCCAGGGATCTCTGGAAAGGACAATGCCCATCAGCAGACCCAGAAGGAAGCAATTGTTCCTGCTTTCCAATTGCTTCAGCAGGGCCTGGCAACTTGCAGAGTTTGAATAATTAATTCAAAGAGGTGGTTGGAAGCTTTCCCTGTTAAGTGAGGAGAATTGCAGCCATCAATTTCTGCATGCTTCCCATTACAGCAAATTAAACTCCTTGCCCTTGAGGCTACAGGGCAGCTCCTCCCAAGTCCTCAGGCAAGAGGGCATCAGCAGAATTGAATTAGAGACTGTTGGTTCCCTTCAGTGCCCCTGAGAACTTCATGGGCAGCACTGACAGCATCAGAGGGCATCCCCCCATGCTGCCTGGCCAGGACAGGAGCTGCTGTGTCAACAGAAGCCAGCTGGGCTTTCTCCCACCAGGAGATTCCAAGTAGCCAGGGCTACTAAGTGGGAATATTAATAACAGAGGTCAAACTCTTGCCTAGAGGCACAAAGCTCTGGTGGACGATGAGAGGCACAAATGCTCTTTCTTCCTTGCAGTGGGTGGGTGAGGAGCTTCTTAACTGGGAAAGTATAAACCAGAGAGAGCCCAGCATTCCAGGTGGAACCATCCTTATGGAAGTCACAGCATTTATCCTTCCCTCTAAGAAGAAGACCTGTCACTGCACTGGGAGCACTGACTTTCACAATCCAAGGGGTAATGGATTAAAACTGGAAGAAGAGAGATTTAGGTTGGATATTGGGAGGAAATTCCTCACTATGAGGGTTGTGAGACACTGGAACAGGTTGCCCAGAGTTGTGGTTGTCCATTCCTGGAAGTGTTGAAGAGCAGGTTGGACGGGGCTTGGAGCAACCTGTTCTGGTGGGAGGTGTCCCTGCCCATGCAGGGGGTTGGACTGGATGAGCTTTAAGGTCCCTTCCAACCCAAACCATTTGATGATTCTAAGACCCCACCTCCTGTACCCCTAATCCTTGTTCCAAGCCCTCTGTGCTAGCTCTGGAGCTACACAGAGGCTACTACTCTGTAGGTCTTGTTGAAGAAAGGCTCTGTCCTCTGCATGCTTAAGATTAATTTTCATATTTTTCCTCCTTCAGGTCAAAAGAGTTCAGTACAGAAAATGCTGACTACCAGAGAGAGCAGAGTGGGCATTCATAAGCTCATGAGCTGCATCTGCTTCAGGGGTAAACAGCTCATTTGTGTAAATATGTACTTGGGTAGATGTCATTTGGGGCATTAAGGCACATCTTTTGCTGTAGGAAGTCTTTTAGTGTCTATTACTCATGAAGCAGCTCACCCTTACAGGCTTGTTCCTTATCTCTCCCCTTCAGCTCATACCAGAGCTCCAAGTGCTTCTGCCTCAGACTCAATATGCCCATTTCTTCTAAACTGGAGACTACTCTTCCCCACAGAAAGGAACCCCATGGGCTAACAACTGCTTTCTGCTCTGAGGATTGCAGTGTTCAAGACCAAAATGCTGTTTTAACCTTGAGCCTTCCTCACTTCTCATCTGTACTTGCTAAAAACCTAGTTTGCCACAGTCACTGCCAAAGAACATCAGCTCAGGGTTGCAGAGAGGCCAAAATAAAAGGGTTTCTGTAACATTAAAATTCATCATTAAAGACTGAAGAGACTAGAAGAGATTATCTCACAAAATAAACCACTCTAACAGAAAGCAGACGGGTATCATTGTGCATCTCAACCCTCCCCACTTTCAAAGTCATTGCCCTGAAAATCCTTGAGTTACTGCAGAGTTTGGACACAACTGGTGAGTTGGGCTTTTTTTGTTTGTTTGTTTGAAATTACCCAACCCTTTCCCACCTCTGGTTACAGACAAACAATAACACAAACTACATGCAGCTCATAAATGGAGTAGTTCAGTCACCTCTGAGCCAGGGAAGCAATTCAGAGGAGTTTCCAACAAAGCACAAGAACAAAAAAAAAAAAAAGAGAGGTTAAAGGGTTTTCCTCAGCTCTCCTGGCATGTTAGCTTGAGAGAGGCACTCATTTTTAAAACACTTGATTTACCAAATCAATCCAAACCCAATTCAGGAGACAAGACAATTTCCCATGGCTCTTCCCACTCTTTTTATCACCAGTCCTCTGGCCTAGGATTCCCAGGACCCCAAATCTTAGCCTTGGCAGAGCTTACATCTTTGCATCTGCTTGCTGTACTCAGACATGTTATCTGGGCGAATGGACCTCAGGAATTTGATGTAGTCATCGCTGTGGTACTTGGTCATTTCTTCTGCATTCGCCTTGTGAGGGCGCTGCAAGGACAACAAAACAGCAGGGTTTGTTTGGAAAGACACCTCTCCCCAGTTCCCATTCCCTAGCTCGGATTTACTCCTAGGATCAACCCCAAAAAAACCCTCAACCCAGCAACATCCAACAAGAGAAACTTCTTTTCAATGCAAGAATGCCACTGCTGGAGACTGGGACATATTGCAGCTCTAAATAAAGGAAATATTTAAGAGAGAAATGTAATTTTCCAGCCTCCAAAGCTGAAGCAAAGAAGACAGAAACAATCAGAAAAAGGCAGAAATACACCAGCACAACTGTTTAATTTTTTTTCTTTTCCTCTTTGGCTCATTAACAGAGAATTTATGAGTTCGAAGCATCAAAATTAAAACCTGACACACAAAGTAAGATCTTTCCTCTTCACAACCAGCCCTACACTTACATATATCTCCATCTTCCTGTAGAGGCCATAGTTCAGCAGCAGGTTGTGGGTCATCCGGATCCTGTGGGGTTTCATGGGATGTCCTTGGCCATAATAGTAGTTTCCAACATCACCTGGGAGCAAAAAAGCTTTTTGTTACAGCAAGGAAAAGTATTCATTCCTTCAAAGAGAATCACAGCCAAGGCACCAGAACCATCAGGTCATTCTGCCATTTTATCTGTTCTCCAGCAGCACATCTGTCCCCAGGGGACAGGGTCTCCCACCTTGCTTGTACAGGGTTCTCCATGGAGTCAGAAAGATTTATCCTAGACTGAAATAAGACAGACATTTGGAAACTAGTGCCAAACAAGGAATTTTTTTAATGCAGGTTAGGAGGAAGGCAATCCAGGCAAGAGTCTGGGTGACTAACATCACTCTTCAGGATGATAAGAGGAGGCAACACCAGCTTTCTTGGGCAGGAGGAACTTTGGGCACCACATCTGCCCATCCCCAACTCTCCAATGTCCTCTCCAGGCAGTTTGCATCCATGACATCCCAGATTTGCCCAGCTCACAGGCTTCACAGCCAGTGCAGCTGCTCTCTGAGCAGGAACCCACACACCAGGAGCCCTGGGAGTTTAATCCCAGCTCAGACAACGACTCACCCCACAGAGCCTCCACTCCTCTCTGTGCACCACACAGAACCAGACACAAAGCAGCTACTTCTCTCAATAAGCAAACACTAGCCTAATTGGAGCTTCACAGCTCTGATCATTTTCACCCTTTGTCATCTCTGGAAACATTTCCTAAGAATCCCAGTCCCCAGGAACCACACACCCACACATAGCACCTGATGAACTCTCCTATGGGTGCCAGCACTAACAGTGTCACCTTCCTGGAATTACATCCCACAGCTCATCTCCCCACATGGATTTTTTTCACTCCTACCTAGCAAAACCTGAGCACAAGCTGCACTCACCCACAGCAAACACCACAGACTGGAGGTTTGTTTCCTTCCCCCTCCACAACCTCCTCTCCCAGGGTACTTATTTTCATGAAACCTAAAGAGAAATTTAACATCCAGATTCCTGCCTCCTGCCTAATTTAGCTGCTCAAAACTTCCCCAGAGCAGGAAACACAGCCCCATGGAGCAGCCATACCCTGCAAGCCTCATTTTCTTGGGAAACCAGACAAAGTTGTTCATGTAGTTGTACAACTCCCAACCCATTTAGGAAGTAGGAGACCCAATCCGGTCTGGCTGGTGACTCAGTTGGGAGTATTAATATTTCATCACTGATCTGAACATTCAGGAGAAGCTGCTACTTCCTCCCAGCACCCAGCTGTAGTTTTTCCTCCTGTGGACAGGGCCCTGTTTGCAAAGTAGATGCAAACACTGCAAATCCCACACCCAAACAATCCTGCTGCTGGAGTTTACCTGGTTTTTGCACAAATGGATCTTTCTGGGGCAACTTTCCTGAGAGTAAAATCAGGTTAAATCAAGGTTTGGGGGACTCAGGAAGAGGTGCTCCAGAGCTTACCTAGAAAAACACCAGCACAAAACTACACCAAGTGTGAAAACTGGTCACCTTCACTTCAGGCTGCAAGTGAAATGCCCCGGGCAAAACCTGTTGGTGTGGACTCTGATCAACACATCCCACCAGAGGAGCTTGTCTGCCCCTGGACATCAGCACAGATGAAGTGTATGAACCCAAGATACCCCTCTTCCTGCCTACTGGGGTTAAGAAAGTCCCTGCATGGGGAGCTAGTAAAGGAGAAGTTACTGTGAAAGTTCAAGCCCTCACACACACCCTCAGCACCCCTCAGGATTCCCATGAAGGACCCTCACAATATCAAATGATCTTTTCCCCATCCTCTCAATCCCACCCAGACCCTTTCCTGCAGCCTGGGGTCCTTCTCCAGCACCTCCTGCCAGCTGAATCACACACATGGAGTCACAGAGTGCTGGAGGATGCAAGGGACCTCTGAAGATCATCCAGTCCAACCCCCGCTACAGCAGGATCCCTCAGAGCAGATCCCACAGGAACACATCCAGGTTTGGAATGTCTCCAGGGATGGAGACTCTCCAACCTCCCTGGGCAGCCTGTCCCAGGGCTCTGGTACCCTCACAGGAAAGAAGTATTTTCTTATATTTAGGTTCAACCTCCTGTGTTCCAGTTTGTACCCCTCACTAGCCACCACTGAGAAGAGTCTGGCCCCAAGATTTATGGCTCAAGGAAGAGACCCATCACCATCCACAACAGCACCCAGAGACCTGCTTTTAGGGAATTACTGCACTGGGCTGTGCTGCTCCCTACATGGAAAATCAAAGACCCTAACAAACTGGGCTCCCACAACCACAGATGATGCCTTCCCTGACAACAACAGTCTCCTCCCACTCCAGGACACACTGTGGATGGTGGCCAGATGCTCATAAAAGAGCAGGGGGAAAAACAAGGCACCAAAATCTCACTACAGGGCAAATTAGTGAGGGCAGCTGTAGACAAAGAGTGTGTAACTCTAACTTCATGTAGTTACCATGCAATAAAGACTGCAAGGAGAGCCTCTCTGCTAGCATTTTCACACAAAATGACTGTTATTTCATATTTAAGACATCATCCCCTGCCTTTAAAGACTGTTCACAAACTGACTAGCTGCTCTGTGAACACGCTACACTCCAAGGACAGGGGTAGGTTTGGACACAGAGCCCGTTTGCTTTCAACATCCAGGTCACACACACATTCTGCCCCTCCCTGTGAGCACTTTAAGTTTAATCCAGGCATTTTAAGGTCTCTCCAGTAGCCCCTTGTCTCTTTTGATATGATGGGTGTTGCACAGAGATGGGCTGTGTGGTGAAACTGGGCTCAGTTTCACTGCACCCAGTGCCCTAACCCAGGCTCCTCCTCACCCTGCCTTCTCAAAGGCACCAGCTGAGTCACAGACCCAGCAGGGCTGTCACCACAGGCTGCAAACCCACTGCTTAGATTTGCCTTCCTAGAGAAAGAAAAAGCCCTCACTGCACACCTGACACGCAGTCTGAAAGAGCCAGCTTTGCTGCTTGAACTCTGAGCACATCCCCTCACCAGGAAAAAGGAGCAAGGAAAAGTTTTTTTACTTGATATCACAGACCAAAAGCCAGGAGGAAATGGAGAACTGCACGACACCTTTGGCAGAGTGATTGCAGCCTCTATTAAAAATAGGAGCCTGCCCACTGCTGAGGCACCAAGCTGCCCCACCAAAGGGGAGGTGGTTGTGAAGTGCAGCAACGACATGACTGGTTTCTCCCCCAGATTACAGGGGGGAAGTGGAGAAGCCACACAAGATCCCCAGCTTGGGATTTGGCCAGCTCTGACACCCCGTTACTCCCCTGCCCCACCGGGGTGATTACACAGCTCCAAAGCAGCACTTCTGCTTCCCCAGCCTCATAAAAACGAATTTTAACAAAAAATAAAGACAGTCTACAATGCTGCCAAGTTCAGAGGCAGAGCTAAACAATGCTCCTAGACACAGGAACTCCCTCCAAACCACCACACAGGTGGTCTGGCTCCCAACACCTTTGGGTTTGTCCCTCACTTGACAGCAACACCACTGACCCCAGAGACAGCCTCAGGAGTGCTGCCTCCTCCTCCTCCTGACACAGGGGTTTTGTGTCCCCACAATCTGTCCTGCCCCTCTGCACCTCCCCTAGTGCTCCCCATCCTCCCAGAAGCCTTCAGCATCTCAGCACAGCTCCCAGAGCCTCTCTCAGCCTCATGCTCCTCTGCCCACCCTGGACCCTCTACAGCCTTTTCCCACTTCCCAAGTCCCCAGATGTCCCCCACTCCCCATCCCATCTCCTCCCAGTGCTGCTCCCCTATCTTTCCCCCCCCTCCATCCTCTGCCCTTCAGTCTCCCCATTCCCCCCAG